CCTCCAGTGCAATAGCCTCCGCCGAGTTGGCCTGGTGGAAGGATGCACAAATCAGACAATGGTTTTGCCAGATCCAGTAATGATGTGGAGAAGAGGATGTTTGTATCTTTTTAGAGGGAGCAGTGTGGCCAACTTGGGTGCCAGAGCATTATGTGCATCACCACAATGGACCCAGAGAAGCTCTTTGTTCCTCCATTCAAAAGACTGAAAGTTGTGGCTCAGAAGAACATAATGAAGGCTACACACAAGGAATCGAGGTGCCAACATGGGTTCAGCTGAAGAAGCTAGCAACTGAGGCCCAGCAGATGTTAAAAAAGCAAGAAGTGGAAGCTATGTTTCTGACTATGCTAGCATTGGCGAGCTGCCAGTTTTCTGTAAAGTCTTGTGCAGCCAAATCTGAGGACTCTGAGTAAGATATCCTGAAAATGTTAACATGTCTGTAGTTTGGTTTCTCTTATTGTTTCTGTTTTATTAATAGCCAGAGTTTTGTTCTCTCTTGTTGCTGCATTACATTAACATTACTGTGTTTATTGTTTTGTTAATAGCCAGAGTTTTGGTTATGCTGCATAATTTGCCCAGAACTTTTGATGAGGTAAATGGAAATGTTTAAAAACAGAAAAAATGGGGAGATGTGGAGAGTGGCTACAGCGTTTGGACAGGTTCAAGCCTGAGACTAATGAGATGGCATGATCTTCTTGTGGCAAAGCCATGTGCAAGTCCCAGCAAAATTATAGCCAAAGGCTATAGCTGTAAGCTTGACCTTATCATCTGAACCTGTGTCAGAGAGCAGCGTCTTACCCAGGCCCAGCGTTTTTCTCTTATCTGTCTTTTCTAAATCCTTCACTGCTCCCTCTCAGGTTCACCCATGGTTGTGCTGGCTTGGCACAACCAATCTTGTTTATATTTTCAAAGAATCAGCTATTGGATTTATTGATATTTTGACTGTTTTTTAGTCTCAATGTCATTTACTTCCATTCTAATATTTATTATGTCCTTCCTTCTATTTCCTCTGGGCATTTCTTACTCTTCTTTTTCCAATGTGTTTAGTTGTAGGATTAGATAGTTTACTGGTGCTTTTTCTTGTTTCTTGGAGTAGGCCTGTAATGACATGAACTTCCCTCTCAGGACTGCTTTTGCTGTGTCCCATAGGTTTTGGACGGTTGTGTGTTCATTTTCATTTCTTTCCCCGAAGTTTTAAATTTCTTGCTTGATCTCATTGGTAACACATTCATTGCTTAATAACATGCTATTTAGCCTCCAAGTATTTGAGTGTTTTTTATTTTTTTTTTATTGTAGTTGATTTCTAACTTCATGCCATTTGATCTGAGAAGATGCATGGTATATCAATCTTCTTAAATTTGTATAGACTTGTTTTGTGCCCTAACATGTGGTCTATCTTTGAGAATGTTTCATATGACCTGAAGAAGAATGTATATTCTGTTGCTTTGTGGTGAAATGTTTTGTAAATATCATTTAGATCCATCTGATTTAGTGTGTCATTTAAGGCCTCTGTTTCTTTGTTCATTTTTTGTCTGGAAGATCTATCCAGTAATGTCAGTGGGTGTTAAAGTCCCCTACTATGACTGTATGGCTGTTGATGTCTCCCTTAAAGTCCATCAAGATTTTTTTCATATATTTGGGTGCTCCTGTATTGGGTGCACGTACTTACAAGGTTGATATTCTCTTGTTGAATCATTCCCATTTGTTTTGAAGTCTATTTGTCAGATATCAGTATTGCTACCCCAGCTTTGTTTTCCTTTCCATTTGTGTGGAATATTTTTTCCATCCTTTTACTTACAGTTTGTGTTACTGTTATTTTGAGGTGGCTCATATATACAGTATATATTTGGGTCATGTTTTCTTATCCATTCAGTCACCCTGCGTCTTTTGAAGCATTTAATCCATTTACATTTAAGGTTATTATTGACAGATATATATTTATTGCCATTTTAATTTTCTTTATGCCTATTATTCTCTCTCTCCTTTTCTTCTTCCTAAAGCAGTCCCATGAACATTTCTTGCATTGCTGATTTGGTGGTAATGTACTCCTTTAAGCTTTTCTTTTGTATGGAAAGCTTTTTATTTCACCTTCAATTTTAAATGATAGCCTATGTGGATAGAGTAGTCTTGGCTTCAGGCCCTTGCTTTTCATTACTTTGAATACTTCATGCCATTCTCTTTTGGCCTTAAGTGTTTCTATTGAGAAGTCTAATGACATTTTTATTTATTTATTTTTTTAATGAAATCTTTATTGTTGTTTGATTGATTTTTATAGAGTGATGGAGAGAGAGAGAGAGAGAGAGAGAGAGAGAGAGAGAGAGAGAGAGAGA